GTCCCAGTCCACCCAGCTGTGAATGGGTACCTTGTAAGGATGGGAAAGCCACATTAACTCGGTGCAGCTAGTGGCTGCAAGAGTTGTATACTCCCCAGTGAGTTGAGATTGATAATATGATGTGCCGTTGAGATTGACATCCAATGATTGAGGGAAAAATACCAGCGCCTTGAGCATGCACTAGTTGCCTGGATATCTGCGCTATATAAATATCCTATAATAATAAAGGAACGCTTCTGCTTTCATGTGTTCCCTTATTTGTTTCCCTCAGTATATATTGGTGGAACAAATCTTGAGACAATAAGCTGCATCTGCTCCTGGAAAACTGTTTAACGTAGATAGTTTTGGAGGTCACCAGGCAATTGAGATTATATGATGGATTTAATCCTAACTTCCTGCATGTATTCCCTCGTGTTCATCTATCATCTCTACTAGTCAGTAAATAAACATTTTGTAGTGTTGTAAATATACCTAAAATGTTCATGTAACAGAAAGAAAAAAAAAAATCAGAATTTATCAAAACTGTGTGGCTTAAATTAAGTCTTTAATTTTGAAATTTCAAATCATGAATTAGAAATTAGCTTGTTAAAAAGTATTCTGGATTTTCTCATAACTTCCTTTTTATCTAATCAGTATTAACATCCATTAATACTTGTAGACGTTAGTCATGTTTAGGATGCATCGTATTTCATCTCCTGTTTATTCTTAAAGCAAATGTGACTGTTGATTTACTAGTGTTTTTGTTTTGTTTTATACGTGATGTAATCATTTTAGATGATTCAAGGCAAGTGAACCAATCTCTATGCTCAATGAGTTAGATCGCAGCTGTACAGTTTTTACAAATGATTTAGTCGCATCTACTGCTAGTGTTGCTGACAATAATCTGTATAATGTTGTCCTTTTTAATTACAAACTAATTAATAATCTTTTACATTTAAATTAAAAATCTATTTGTGAATTTGTGTTATGTTGTGTTTACTCATTAGCATGAGTGAGTGAGTTTAGTTTTACACCGCTCTCAGCAATATTCCAGATATATGGTGGCGGTCTGTAAACAATTATTGAGTATGAACCAGACAATTCAGTAATCAACAGCATGAGCATTGGTCTACACAATTGTGTACAGTGACGTGTCTACCAAGTCCGTGAGCCTGACCACCCAATCCTTTTAGTCGCCTCTTATGACAAGCATGGGTTACTGAAGATCAATTCTATCCCGGATCTTCACGGGGCTGCTTGTTATGTGAAGTGACAGGCACTGACCCATGCACAGCATTCACCCTCCATATGTGGGGTATTTTTAAACTGCACCACAATGTCAATTCTGGTATGTTGCCAAACAAACATGCTATCATGAGCACATTTTGGTATTTAAGCAATAATCATACATTTCTTAAATGTATATATCGCTCCAAATTTGTTAAACAACAAAGTGGCAAAATAGTCAGTTTCAGCTTGCTATTTCTTAAGATTGGTGATTCTATTTTAACAACAAAAGAATCAGCCTACCAACATAACAAACAACTTAAGTTATATGGTCAGACTTTTATTGTTGGTTGTACAATGTGTACATAAGCACGTGTATCATGGGGAGACAACTCCTCTGTGGAGATGGACATTCAGATCTACAGACTGATGGGGAAAAAACATTTCGCACCTTGTACATGCTTTCCTTCAATGTAATACATTAAACCCAGTTTAAGAGATTACGATTCTTAGAAGTTTCGATTGGTGTGTTATCAGATTTATGTGGTTTAACAGTAGGTTACCACTGCAATGTTCCATGAAAATGAGGAACCAAAAAAGACCAGGTGAAGTTGGTTTAAAGGAAGCTGTTTAAACAAGTCTTAAAATTAATTACAAAATGTATACACATAAAAATTGCAAAAATATATCCCAACAATTAACACACGGTAATATTCCACATCTGAAAGGGATGATCACTTTATGATTCCGATCAATGATTGTTATGATATAAATCAAATGTATTTTCAAATCAAATTACTTCTACGATTATCCTTATCAAAAGTTGAGTGGTACAAATACTCATAACAGATAAAAATATTAACAAAAACAAACTGCATCAACTATCGTCAGTGTAAAAAATAACAATTCTTTAATTCAAGAACTTGTATGGTTGTGACTCCCTAGATTAAAATCCTCCTTATGGATTGAGTGAGTGAGTGAGTTTAGTTTTACCCACACTCACCAATATTCCAGCTATATGGCAGTATTCTGTAAATAATCAAGTCTGGATGGATAAGTGATCAACAGCATGAGCATTGATCTATGGAATTGGGATACGATGACATGTCAACCAAGTCAGCGAGCCTGACCACCCGATCACGTTAGTCGCCTCAAACGACAAGCATCGGTTACTGAAGATCAATTCTAACCCATATCTTCACTGGTCTCATTATGGAAGTTGGGAGTGAGTGAGTTTGGGTTTTCAACAATGTATGTGTACTGAAACACTCTGAAAACACATGCTAAAACTGGTAAAATGGCCGCATATTAAAAATGAGTTTACTGGGTATTTGTGCGTATGATAATCAAGCCCAACAATGCAGGGTCTGAATCCCGTTCCATGAGTTTCGAGATGTACTGCCGAAATAGTGTTCTTGAGCTTCATTGCGAATGTTATGTGTTTCAGTTCATGATATAAGACTTAATGAAACATGACCAGGGAAGGCATCAGACTGCTCAACAAATCGTCTTGCCTTCAGGAAACACACCAATATACGGGAATCTCGGGTCCTCTGAGATTATCTCCTGTGGCTTTCTGATTGGTTGGTTTTGTTTATTGTTTTACGCCACACTCCGCAATATTCCAGCTATATGCCAGCAGTATCATCATGATAATTAATATTATTTCACATCAAAGAATATCATATGGACTAATAATTTGCCCCCCTGTGACAAAAAACAAACAAAAACATTTGAGCAGATTCATACAGCAGAAATAAATATGTCTGACATGAAATTAAAATGTTTCAGTTATCAAACCTAAATTATTATGCTGTGATGATGAAATTCAATTCTTGAGTTTCAAACCCAATAACAACATATGCATACATTCCAAATTTGATATATGGTATGTATTCTATGAGACAAGGCTCAAACAGAGTCTAACAATATAACCATACTCTCTAAATATGATACATACATTCTTTATGTGCGACAAGGCTCAAACAGAGTCTAACAACATAACCATACTCTCTAAATATGATACATACATTCTTTATGTGTGACAAGGCTCAACCAGTGTCTAACAATATAACCATACTCTCTACACATGATACACACATATGTGTGACAAGGCTCAACCAGAGCCTAGCAATATAACGATACTCTCTAAACATGATACATCCATTCTTTATATGAGACGAGGCTCAACCAGAGCCTAGCAATATAACCATGCTCTCTAAACATGATACACTAACAATATAACCATACTCTCTAAACATGATACACACATTATGTGTGACAAGGCTCAACCAGAGCCTATCATTATAACCATACTCTCTAAACATGATCCACACATTATGTGAGACAAGGCCCAACCAGAGCCTAGCAATATAACCATACTCTCTAAACATGATACATCCATTCTTTATGGGAGACAAGGCTCAAACAGAGCCTAGCAATATAACCATGCTCTCTAAACATGATACACACATGTGTGACAAGGTTCAACCAGAGCCTAACAATATAACCATACTCTCTAAACATGATACATACATTCTTCACGTGAGGCAAGGCTCGGCCAGAATAACATAACAATACTTACAATAACAATAACATCACTACACACATACTACAGAAAGTGAGGAAAGTGGGAAGAGAGATTGATACATTATTTGGCAACAAGGAAAAGGTGTGTGGTGTTGCGGTATTAAACAAACCTGAGTGAGTGAGTGAGTTTACTTTTACGCCGCACTCAGCAATATTCCAGCTGTATGGCGGCGGTCTGTAAATAATCGAGTCTGGACCAGACAATCCAGTGATCAACAGCATGAGCATCGATGTGCGTAATTGGGAACTGATGACATGTGTCAACCAAGTCAGCGAGCCTGACCACCCGATGCCGTTAGTCGCCTCTTATGACAAGCCGGGGTTACTGAGCATACAAACCTGAGCAACCCATGCTGATTGTAGGAGGTGACCGAATGGATTGTGTTTCTTATCCCATAGAACATGGCTCAAAATATAAGTCACCGGTTGTCTGGTCTAGGTTGTCATGACAAAGATAGAACATCCTGATGACAGTGTTGACTATATTGACAAGGGAGTAATACAAGTTGTATATCTACACCTGCTCTACTATATCCACAATCACCATGGCAACACCGGGCACCAACTAGAGATGAATATGTCAGATATAACAAATATTAGCTTCAAGGTCTTGCATGATGATGTTCATAGCGACAGTAGGGTATCCCCGTATCAACAAGGGAGTAATGTAAGTTGTTTATCTACGTGTTCCACTATAATGTTCATAGCGACAGTAGGGTATCCCCGTATCAACAAGGGAGTAATGTAAGTTGTATATCTACGTGTTCCACTATAATGTTCATAGCGACAGTAGGGTATCCCCGTATCAACAAGGGAGTAATGTAAGTTGTATATCTACGTGTTCCACTATAATGTTCATAGCGACAGTAGGGTATCCCCGTATCAACAAGGGAGTAATGTAAGTTATATATCTACGTGTTCCACTATATCCACAGTCACCATGGCAACACCAGGCCCCATCTAGTGATGAATATGTCAAATATAACAAATATTAGCTTCAAGGTCTTGCATGATGATGTTCATAGCGACAGTAGGGTACAAGGGTGTAATGTAAGTTGTATATCTCATTGTTCCACCCCGTATCAACAAGGGAGTAATGTAAGTTGTATATCTACGTGTTCCACTATAATGTTCATAGCGACAGTAGCATCAACAAGGGAGTATCCACCCTTACAGTAGGGTATCAACAAGGGAGTAATGGGAGTAATGTAAGTTGTATATCTACGTGTTCCACTATACCCACAATCACCATGGCAACACCGGGCACCATCTAGCGATGAATATGTCAAATATAACAAATATTAGCTTCAAGGTCTTGCATGATGCAGAAATGCACATAGCTGTATAGAATGGATGCATTAAAACATAAACATTGTAACTAAAGGAATGTAAAATATATCTATAGTAAACATTTTTATACAAAGAAACGAAAAGGTCTTGTAATGACATTAATATCAAATCTAACAGTAAACGACATGACCTCACTACAGACAGCCTTGAAATGTATTACTGTGGTCCCCTAGTTGTAAAGGGCAATGTGAAACTTGTCCCGTTAACACTGCCTGAGCCTTGGCATATAAACAACACGTACACATGTTGAGGACGTGACGTAAACTGAAAGACAATGGCAATTCTGAGAACCTGGAGTATAAAACCATTTATCACCTCCACAGAATCCATGGTGAGTGTTGATTGCACTTCATGGACACATAGTGGATAATATCTGGACATTGGCATCAGATTACAAGTTGTTGCTATTCTTGAAACAATCAGTGAAAGTCAATACGCTGTTCTGAAGTATGGTGTCTGTAAAAAGTAATTTCTTTAAATTTGAACAGGTTGACAAGTTTGCAAGTTTCCCATCTTGCAACATACTTAAGAGGGTTTTTTGGTTGAAATTATGATAGTGCTACTCTGAAAATGAATAACTTCTTTGTCTTAACTGCAAGAAAATACAAGAAATATTTACCAGGTGATAACATCTGTAGAAGGGAGTGTAGGGGTTATTACAAGTTAAGCTATATTTTGATATTAATGTACAGTGGAAGCCGTCTAAACCGGCATTCATTGGGACCGGCAAAGAATGCCGGTATAGTGGGCGTGACGGTTTAGAGAACTTTTCAACCTGAGAATGATCTTCTGTTGCCGTAAAATACGACTGAAGAACTTGTTGATAGTCATCATATTCTTCATTCATCAATAAAGATAACATCCGGTACAGCACGGAAAAACAAACCAGTCTCATCGCAGTTAAAGACATCTTCAGGCGTACATCCGTCAATCAAAGTCGGGAGGCGGACATAAAGTTGTCAACATCACTCTGATCTAGTGTGTCACGTCACTCACCAATTTACCTCACCTACTTAGGCCTAATTCTTATCCATACTCCTTTATCAGGCAACATAAATGAGCTTAACGCCCATGATAATCCATTGTGTTGTTAATACACAGGAGAGTCGAGATACCGGATGCCGGTTTAGAGAGCGTTAATTACTGTACAAACAGTCAATTGGGCGGTCTTTGTTGTGCCGAAAACGGAAGAGACTGACACCGGATTAGAGGGCGTGCAAATGATCATAAATTAATTAGCTTCTGCCGGGACAAAATTTTAGTGCCGATATTGAGAGTATGCCGGATTGGAGGGCTGCCGGTTTAGAGGGCTTCCACTGTATTAGTACAGAGATTTGTGAAAATCACTGTGAGGCTGTGTCAATGTTTGACAAATTAACTTTCTCTGACTTCAAAATTTTAACTGTTCCATAAACTGATTCCAAAACAATTGTGTGCTAAATTGGGATCTATTCCCAAGAGACAGCATCTCTTTGTTGATGTAAACAGCTCACTGCTGTTGCTGCTGATTGACAAGTTGCAACAAATCCCTGATTGCCGATTCAGAGTCAAGCAGTAATCCCTTATTTACTCTGATTGCAAGGAGGCCTGATAAAACAAATAACTCTCCACTTCTGAGTCAATCCCGAGGTCCTAGATTTCAAAACCTGACCATTGTTTTCACAATGGTTCATGTGAACACTCTTGTCTGAAATGACCTTGAATTCTTCATCCTCTTCAGAGTCAACTGAAGCCCTTCACTGGTCCCTCATAATCCCAGCTCAACTGGTAAAACTGACGTCTGCTACACAGGCCAGGGGTCAGAGAGTTGAGCCAACATGGAATGAGGCACAGGGTGGTGTGCTGCTACACGATCGGAAGTCCGGGGACACCGACCCTGCATGGACGGACGCACGTGACGTCACAGTTCGTGGTGAGGAATGGCAAGGAGTCTCATTTCTAGAAGGCATCTCATCAAATCCGAGCATCTGCCGCTTGACAAGGTTGGAGTACATGCCTCCATTAGCAAGGAGCTCCGTGTGAGTTCCTTGCTCCACAATGGTGCCTTTGTTGATCACGACGATGCGGTGAGCTCGCTCTACTGTGCTGAGTCGGTGAGCGATGATCAACACAGTCCGGCCTTTCACGTTACTGTACAATGCTTGTTGGACCTGGAGGAGAAAAGTACAAACAACTCAGCCATAGAGACACATATCGACACATATCGACACATGTAGACACATAAAGACATATACATACCTACAGACACATACAGAAACACAGAGACACATACAGACACATATAGACACATGTAGACACATAAAAGCTCATACAGACCTACAGACAGACTTATACAGACACATATAGACGATACATATGAAGACACATACAGACTCAGGCGGACATATAAACATCACATGCACACAAAACTATGGTTACATAAGCAGTCTGTGAAGAAAACATCACATATACTAATATTCTGTTCTGACTGACCAAAGCCAAATCATCAGCTAACATTCATAAAGTAATAGCTAAAACAAGTCTGTATATAACCAGACAATATCATTATGAACAAAGAGTGTTCAACATGTGACACTAGAATGTTACCCTTATCAAAGAATGTTAACCTTATCAAAGAATTTTACCCTTATCAAAGAATGTTACCCTTATCAAAGAATGTTACCCTTATCAAAGCATGTTACCCTTATCAAAGCATGTTACCCTTATCAAAGAAAATCAAAGCATGTTACCCTTATCAAAGAATGTTACCCTTATCAAAGCATGTTACCCTTATCAAAGCATGTTACCCTTATCAAAGCATGTTACCCTTATCAAAGCATGTTACCCTTATCAAAGTATGTTACCCTTATCAAAGCATGTTACCCTTATTAAAAAATGTTACCCTTATCAAAGCATGTTACCCTTATTTAAGAATGTTACCCTTATCAAAGATCAAAGAATGTTACCCTATCTAAGAATGTTAACCTTATCAAAGAATTTTACCCTTATTATAGAATGTTACCCTTATCAAAGAATGTTACCCTTATCAAAGAATGTTACCCTTATCAAAGAATGTTACCCTTATCAAAGCATGTTACCCTTATCAAAGCATGTTACCCTTATCAAAGCATGTTACCCTTATCAAAGAATGTTACCCTTATCAAAGCATGTTACCCTTATCAAAGCATGTTACCCTTATCAAAGAATGTTACCCTTATCAAAGCATGTTACCCTTATCAAAGCATGTTACCCTTATCAAAGCATGTTACCCTTATCAAAGAATGTTACCCTTATCAAAGCATGTTACCCTTATTAAAGCATGTTACCCTTATTAAAGAATGTTACCCTTATCAAAGCATGTTACCCTTATTTAAGAATGTTACCCTTATCAAATATTGTACAGATGCTCATCCCTTACCACATGTTCTGACTCCGAGTCCAGAGCGCTCGTTGCCTCATCCAGCAGCAGAACCACAGGGTTCCGGATCAGAGCCCGTGCTATAGCAATCCGCTGCTTCTGTCCCCCTGCACAACAAACATGGTTGAAACACTTGTCAGAGCTTAATATGAAAGAAAAACTTCTAAACTTTAGGATATGTATCAAAAGATTTTGAATGTGTTAACAAACAAGCAGGTAATGAACCCCAACCATGAGAGGAACTCAGAAAAAGGTCAACTGATACTGAGTCTAGAAATATTGTGTTCGGTGGTGACTAACATGATCAGGTGGTCAGGCACACTAATTTGGTTGACACATGTCATTGTATCCTAATTGTGTAGGTCAACAATCATGATGGATTGTCTGTTCCAGATTTGATTATTTACATACTGTTACCCTTAAACAAAATGATTGGTCCAAGACATGATACTAATTACTCTCATTCTAATGTTGATAAGGCTGTTATTCCCTGATCTGAATGTTTCACCTTCCACCCTCAGAATGCATACTGTCTTTTGTCGCTTCGCTTGAGTAACTTCCCCTACCTGAGAGTTGCGTCCCCTTCTCTCCAGACTGTGTATCATACTTCTCTGCCATCTCCATGATGAACTGATGAGCGTTGGCCATGACAGCGGCGTGTTCCACCTCCTCCTTCGTACAGTCGTCCAGCCCATAGCCGATGTTCTCCCGGATACTTCGAGCATACAGCACTGGTTCCTGACCCACAAGGGAAACCTGCAGCCACCAAACATGCAGAGTTACTCCCCCTTACTGAGAGTTGTGCCCCCTTCCCTTTAGTCTGATTACCATACACATAATCATCATCAGTCACAATCAGCCTAATAAGTTACTCCCCTTCCCTCAAAATTTTGTTGCCCTCTCGTCTATCTGTGGACAAAGCTGGTATTTACCAAAAACAGTGAAAACCCTATGAATACACAAAGCCACTTAGACTGTGGTCAAATGTAACATATATTATATTTGGGATTACAATTTTTTTAACAAAGAAGAGATTCAAGTGCTTTTTGGGTTCAGTCCGATCAGGTGGCTGAGTGGGTTAGATTGCCGACTTTGTGCATAGTTTGTGTTTAAATCCTGGATGGGACTCAATCCCCAAAAGTACTATAATATAAATTTTACTGAGGAAGTGTAATGCCACATATAACAGATGTTACAGTGAAAATCCAGTATGACTCTCAGAGGTTGACAGTTTTGATAAACATCAACAGAGTTTTGACACACTATAAACCAGATCCTAAATTGTGCTCCTGGGGACTTTTGACTTGGAATTTGACTATGAGAATAAATAGTAAAACATCTCGAGTCCTTCACCTTTCTGTGCAGGTACTTGTGATCATACTGGTGTATTGGCACGTTGTCCAGGAGGACGTCCCCGGTGCTTGTCTCGTAGAAGTGTTCCAGTAGGTTGACACAGGAGCTCTTGCCGCCTCCACTCGGACCAACCAGGGCCACCACCTCCCCCCGGGTGCACGCTGAACGACACATTCTGAACAAAAACACCGATAATTCCATACAGCACCTGTCAATCAAGATTACAATGGGCCAGAAACTGGAGGGTACCACAGAAGGGACTTTTATGAACATTTCGGAAATTATTTTAAACTAAAACAATATTTTGGGGTAAAAATGCCAATTGCTGCCATCAGTTTTTACCAAAACTATTACAAATAGTATGAATAACATATTCAATTGAATATCAAATGGTCATTGCGTTACTTGTTTCTGTCAGTATACAAAGACAGCGCCACCTACCTTCAACACCAGGGTGTCGGGGCGGGATGGGTAGGAGAAGCTGACATTTCGGGAACTCAAGATGACCTTCCAACTTGTCTGGAGCATAACTTCCTGTGTTAGTGATCACCGGCTTCCTGTCCATGTACTCGAACACTTTCTCCGAGGCCCCTATAGCCTGCATCAGGCCAGTGTACACGGAGCCAATACTCTAGAACAGACATATGAAGATCCAGGTTAGAATTGGTTTTCAGCAACCCATTCTTAATATATGTTTCGTTTGGATTGTCTGGTCCAGACTCAATTATTTTTAGACCACTGTCATACAGCAGGAATACTGCTGCTTGTGGCATTAAACAACACACAAACAAATAAAATACTCTAGAACAAAGATCAACTGGGGACATTCACATCAGTGAATGGATACCCCTGGCTCTACATGACACAAGACTCACGCCCCCAAATACCATACACGCACTGTCTAATTGTTATGTGGCACTGTTGTACACTGTGCTAGGTCATGTCCCATTAGTCCTAGGTCACTAGTCATACCATTAAAACCCAGGCATATACTCCCACTAGTCATACAGCAAATGGGGGTTTAATTTTAAAAACCCAGGCATATACCCTTTGTGCAAAATGGACTAGCCTGCTAATTAGAGAGCTTGAGGTTAGTTGAATCTCTAACACTGAGATTGCCACAGTCTTTGGTAATGAGTGAGTGAGTGAGTTAAGATTTTAAGTCACATCGGCAGTATTTCAGCCATATCGTGAATATATCAAGTTATATATTAATAATAATTATAAGTAAAGTATAAAACCCTGCCAACAAAGGACAGTAAAACAACTAGAATATCACAGATGTAAATGTAATAATAAAATCTAAAACATTTTAACTATACATGACAATACAACATAACAAACAGGCTATAGATTGCCAACAACTAGGGTCTTTGGTAATGAAAATACATACAGGAATGTTATTAAAGTAAATTGCATTGAAGTTATATGAATATAATACACCACAGCCGTTGGTTGGTAATCAAAACATTTAAATCAATGTAAAACTTTCTAAGTTTGATTCAATTTACTCAATCTTATAAAAAATATATAAACTAATGCATAAAAGTTCCATGTTATAGACTCTAGCATATCTTCAGTCAACCTGTATTCTGTACTGAAGAGGCCACAGGCATGTAGTACATAAAACATACATATATGTATATTCGCCCAAGTAGTAACTTTTACATTGTTTCAAATATTATTATTTTTCTTTCTTTGTAATGTTGCATATCACTCTTGTTATCATGGCAGGATTGATTGACGTGGAATGCATACTATGTTCAAGATCAGATTATGTATGTATACCATGCTGAAGACAGATTATTAAAGTGCACTGATGTGACGCTGTATTTCTGTTTCTTGCATCATTCCACTATATTTTTACAAAGGTACTAAAAAAGTAGTTGTTGGTGCAGTCAACCATACCATATGTTGTTTTAACCTGTATGACTAGTGGGACGTATGACTAATAATAACAAGTGTTTGCCACTGATATGGCAATGTCCCCGCCGCTAAAGAATGGAATATCTATATTTACTACTTTTTATTTTTCGGTCACATACAAGATGCCTGAAATGACTGGTGTCTGCATAATCACCCAATGTAGGCAATGTTTTATGAGATATTGCCTTTAAAAAGCGGTCAAAATATCGTGGTGACACCTTCATAAGAGTTTGAAAAGTGTTCAAACTGTTGTGGTGACCTTGAAAATAAGCTCAAGGTCACCTAAATAAAATGGTGTCTGTGAAATCCCCTAATGTAGGCTGTCACCAAATTTGAAGGCATTGGGTACAACAGTCCATGAGATATCACATTAACAACAGTTTGAAAAGTGGTCAGTGGGGTGGTGACCTTGAAAATAAGGTCAAGGTCACACAAATAGACTGGTGTCTGTGTAATCCCCTAATGTAGGCTGTCACCAAATTTGAAGACATTGGGTACAACAGTGCATGAGATATCACGCTAACAAGAGTTTGAAAAGTGTTCAAAGTGACATGGTGACCTTGAAAATAAGGTCAAGGTCACCCAAATCGACTGGTGTCCGAGTAATCCTCTAATGTAGGCTGTCACCAAATTTCAAGACATTGCGTACAACAGTTAATGAGATATCACGTTAACAAGAGTTTGAAAAGTGGTCAATGTGTCGTGGTGACCTTGAAAATAAGGTCAAGGTCACCCAAATCGACTGGTGTCTGCGTAATCACCCAATGTAGGCTGTCACCAAATTTGAAGACATTGGGTACAACATTTCATGAGATATCGCGAAACAAGAATTGGGACGTACGTACGGACGCCGCTGAAAACATAGTCTTCCGTTCCACGTTGCGGCCGGGGACAATAATAATAATAATGGCACTTATATTGCGCTATATCCACGCCATGAAGGTATGCTCAAAGCGCATTGCCTCAAATGATGGAAACAGAGGCAGTTGAGTTCTACACAATGGTATGAGTTATGTATCTTTTAGGTATAGTGCTTGAAAAGGTGGGTTTTAAAAGATTCTAGAGATGGAATCAACTTCAGTGATTCGGGTAGAGAGTTCCACAGAGTAGCGGCTGAGACAGAGAAGGATCTAGAGCCGAAAGTTTTAAGTTTGGTGACAGGCACCCAAAGGAGCTGTTGTTGACTAGAGCGCCGAGTTCTTGAAGGGAGGTATGGGACAGTCAGATCACTCAGATAGGCAGGTCCAGTACCAGAGGATGGTGTTGACTGTTACTATCAACATCATAACATCCATTTCAACTTAACACGGGAACATTGTGTTCTTCCAATCCTCCAAGAATGTATTTCCCAGGTTGTGCATACTGAGAACCTATATGAATAAGATCAGAGACCATCTATTATATGGTCTCTGATAAAATAAATACTGATCACTCATTCTGTGGAACAAGCATTGGAATGGAATACAACAGCAGATGGTGGCGCAGGTTAATTGTAGTGGTGATGGCAGCAAAGGATTGAAGCACTAGAAAATGTCGAGTGCTGCTGAATGCAGACTAAAACAGGAAGTGTGATTAGAGTTACTTCCCTTGCAAGCATAAATGTTTAAGGTTTTCATGTGAGAGTTCTAATAGGCTGGTGGTACCTGCTGTGATCGAGGGTCATACAAGGCTTTGTTGTTACCTGACATGCTTCTAATCCACTTGAAAATCCTAGATGCCTATCTGAAAACACCAAACTACTCCAGCTTCCACAGACATTCAATAGTAGAGACAAGCACGGTTCAAGGAATTCAAGAGGGAATTCTTAAGTGCTCTGACATATGTTAAAGTGTCTGTTTCATATTGCTACTGGGACTTATTTGACTCATTGTGTGGCCTTTTTCATTTTAAACTCAAACATTAGTGTTTGAATAAGTCTAATCTTGTATTGCCATTTACTGATATTGGTGGTGGGTTTAAGCTCATCATACCAAAGACTCGGGTTCGATTCCCCACATTGGTACAATGTGTGAAGCCCATTTCTGTGATATTGGTGGAATATTGCTAAAAGCGGCATGTAATACTCACTCACTCACTCTAACCTCTGGACTTGAATCTGCAATTTATTGACTGCTTAACAATAAATACCACAATACAGTCAAACACTGTTGTATTAAACTTTAATGTGTTGAACTTTCAGATGTTTTGAAATATAACCTTAGTCTCTGCATATTTCCTATTAATCATCCTTTTATGGCTGTCATATAACTCAAAGTATTTTCTATGTCCCTTCTACTTTCACACAATAGTGTTTTACTGTACACAGACTATCTCGTTGAACATTATACACTGACTGTACACCTAAACAGGATGAGGAGTTGTTGTTTTAACACTGTGCACTAGTACAGACTGTAGTTTTGACTGTGGAAGTTGACACTGACTGTACACTGACTGAACATTATACACTGACCGCACACTGACTGTACAGACTGTACACTGACTGTACATTGACTACAGACTGTACACTGACAGACTGTACACTATACACAGACTGTACACAGACTGTACTGACTGTACACAGACTGTACACTATACACAGACTGTACACTGACATTACATTGACTGTACACTATACACAGACTGTACACTGACTGTACACTATTACAGCTGTACACTGACTGTACACTGACTGTACACTGACTGTACATACACAGACTGTACACTGACTGTACACTATGAACATTGACTGTACACTGACTGTACACTATACACAGACTGTACATTTGACTGTACACTAACTGTACACTGACTGTACATTGACTCTGCGTGACTCACCTCCAGACACTGCCCCAGCTCTATCTGGTAGAGGATGAAAGACACCAGGTTGCCACCAGTGATCTTGTTGGCAATCACAAGATGGCCGCCATAATACAGCACCGCAACAGTGAGAGCCAAGTCAAACAACTGGGAAGAAAACATCTCGTTAAGTGACACATTTACTGGCAAACAAGGATAAGGTTTGTGAAAGGTAGAGCAGATGTAGGCTAGTGCATGTGCATTACATGACGATGAAATTGATTGATAGACTCTCACGTCCGGTGTAGCAATCAATTATATCACTACGAAGTTGATAAAGTTGGAAATAACCTGGGTCCCCTTATGTTAACAATCAGCGAAGTTTGATGGGTGGCACTCATTTTATTTATCACCAAAAATCACTCTTCAATTGTAAGGTCAGGGATCATCTCTATCACTTGTTTGCCATTAGACTTGCAAGTAGTGGTAAGTCATCAGCTATGATGAAAATATTAGATGATTTTCAACATTTACAGTTACTTCTAGTATTGAAATTCACAGAGCGATTAAATAGGGTGTTAATCACCAATTTTTCTGTATTAACTTAACTGTCGGGGTTATCATTATATCAGAGACTACAAGAGAGAATGATTTTCCAAAAAAGGTTTGTGTATTTTTAGAGGTTAAAAAAAAAAAAAAAAAAAAAAAAAAAAGTACATTATTCTTTCCTCAATTTCGTATCCTAAGACTACTTAGATCTGATCCTGTGAAGGTACGGGTTAGAATGTACCTTCAGGAACACATGCTTGTCGTAAGAGGCGACTAACGGGATCAGGTGGTCAGGCTCACTGGCTTGGTTGACACATGTCATCGGTTCCCAATTGCGCAGATCACTGCTCATGCTGTTGATCACTCGATGGTCTGGTCCAGACTCGATTATTTACAGACTGCCGCCATATAGCTGGAATATTCCTGAGTGCAGCGTAAAACTCAACTCACTCACTCACTCAGATCTGATGGACTTCTGTCTGTATTACCTGGTTAGACCACAGGAAGCCTGCATACACTACAGCCTGCTTCTTGTACAGCTTGTAGGTGTCTACCATTGACAGCTTGTATCTCGACACCTCGCTCTGTTCATTGGCGAAACTGCGGACCGTTCTGAGTGATGAACAGGCTTCCTCTGCCACCTCATTGGCTTTGGCTAGACTGTCTTGGACCTTCTTCGCCAGCGCCTGTTGGGGAGGAAAACCAGGGTGTCTAGATTAACATGAAGTGTCAGGATTAACACTAGTGTCAAGATTAACATTAGGTGTCAAGATTATACAAAATTATTTTTTAAATCTGTAAACCTTATATTACAAAACGTGTTGCCTATTTATCATATCTCAGGAAAGAAATTCTGAAAAATTCTTCTTAATCTTTTCCCACGCTTCCCACAATCTGCCAAATACATCAGCTGGCCACCAGTAACAGAAGAGACCTCCTGAAACGGTCTGTACCTAAGTACCCTATATTTAGATAAGCCGATCTCATAGATAACCCTTAACTTGAACCTTAAAATCAGATTCAAAATGGTATGTTATGTTCATAAGCCGACCACCCACGATGGGGCCCTAATCACGGCCAACTCAGACCACAAGACAACTAGCAGTTACCAATAATTATAACTTGGGTCCACATTATTCACAGGAATCAGAATCATTGCATCTACTCATGCCATGCAGTGTAGTTGACAGAAAATGGATACCTATGTATTTTGTTTCACTAAAAGTTATATTTATTGTAGATGGACGATCACATGTCAACAATCTGTTTTCACAGTGGAAATATCGAGACCTCGCCAAAACCACATCGGTGACAGGTGAAATTGTTCCATGCATAAATCTATCAACAATACACCAAAGTGCTGCCGCATAACTTTAGTTATTATAATAAATGTTTACATTTATAGAGCAAAATCTGTAAATAAAATTACACAATTCTAGAATATATTTCTCTTGGTAAAATAACAGTTTTAGATATTATATTTTACTGATCACTGCGTCAGAATTCATTCCTGCTATATTATTGGGTATGTTTAAACTAAATCACTGGTAGATTGCCAGGAAACGTGTGCACAGCTGATTGTGCCATATGCACAACCTTGATTGCTGCCATTAGGCAGAAAGGCAATTGCCTACACATAATTTTGTAATTGCCATCTAAACTTTTTGCCTACACATAATAATTGGCTCAGATACGCCCCTGATTGCTATTTCCGGCTCTATATACGAGGTAGTCAATAAATATCCTGTAACGCTGCTTGCCTGTATAGCTGTAAAAGTATTATACATCTTTCATCTTGCCTTCCACAAATGACCCCAAAAATCAGCAAAATAGGAAAATAATTCTGCTGGGCTGCAATACCGACACCCTGTAACATTGCTCACGTCCAACATTCACTAAAGAACCTGTATTGCTATAGTTACCTTGTAGTAGTCACCATACACGTGTGCAACGCCGATGACGATGGGGAGACCGGTGAACGTGACGAGACTCATCCTCCATGACAGCTTGATCATGAAGAACACTGTCCCACCTGCCATGGAAACAGTTACCATGGTTACACATATTTTGTCGTGGATAGTGCTGATACATTAGATGGGTAGAGTTAGTGAATGAGAGATTATTATTTTTTTTTTATTATAGGATATTTATATAGCGCACATATCCACGCACTAGTGCATGCTCAAGGCGCTGGTATTTTTTCCCTCGATCATTGGATGTCAATCTCAACGGCACATCGCATTATCAATCTCAACTCCCTGGGGAGTATACAACTCTTGCAGCCAGTAGGCACACCGAGTTATTGTGGCTTTCCCATCCTAACGAGGTACCCATTCACAGCTGGGTGGACTGGGACACATAGTCACAGTACTTTGTCCATGTTCACTGCACGCTGCTGTACAAGCAACCAGGGTGTTTGCACGCATTCATGTGGCTACCATCTGGTCAAATACCAACGGATTCGTGAGGTTCATTTTAAGTGCACAGGGTTGTGTACTGTACACTAGGGGTTCTGCAACACTGAAAGAGTTACCAAAGTTGACTCCATATTTTATCGTGGTCAGTGGTGGGCTCGATTAGACACCTCAACCTTAGTGGATCACTAGCCTGGCGTGAGCCAGGTTGCCCAGAGCCTGGAGATGGTGTGGGTTGTTTATGAGTGATTGAGTGAGTGGTTAAGTGGTGAGTGGAGGGAGTTGAGTGGGTTTGAGTGTGGTGAGTGATTGGTGAGTGAGTGGGTGGTGTGTGAGTGAGAGTGAGTGAGTCAAGGTGGTGAGTGAGTGAGTGAGTGAGTGAGTGAGTGAGTGAATTTATTTTTTGCCACACTCAGCATTTCAACTATATGGCAGCGGTCTGTAAATAATCGAGTTTGGACCAGACTATCCAGTGATCAACAGCATGAGCATTGATCTACGCATGTGTCAACCAAGCCAGCGAGCCTGCCCACCTGATCCCGTTAGTCGCCTCTTACGACAAGCATGGGTTACTGAAGACCAATTCTAACCCGGATCTTCACGGGTTGAGTGAGCCGGTGAGCTAATGAGTGAGTGAGTGAGTCAGAGAGTCAGCAAGTGAGCCAGAGGGGCTTTATGTGTGTGTGTCTGTATGAGTGAGGCTTACATGCTGTGATGAGGCTTCTGAGAAAGATGTTGACGTTGAGTGTGATGGCATCACTTGTTGTCGTCGTGTCCGATGTCAGCCGCGATGTGATGTCACCTGAAACACCAGCGTTAACATCTTGGTCAGCAACACCTCCATATCTTAATGAAATCAAACAGCACAAGTATTTACACAATATATCAGCAAGTGAGCTGAGTTATACAAAGTGTCAGTTACATCACAACATATACTGAGAGAAACAAATAAAGGATCACAGGAAAATTCAAGCGTTACTTTAATATTTTCCAGTTTCCATCACCAGTTTTTAATAGCGCTGTGGGAGGAAATCTGAGAATAAATAAAGGAACACTGCCATGAAGTGGTGTTCCCTTATTTGTTTCCCTCAGTATATCTACTTTGTGGGGCAGGAAAGACTGAAATGAAGTCTTTTGGTGTGTTGGTGAATGTGTATATTCCCCCCTCCCTAAAAAAAAAAGACCAAACCAACATAAACTAGGTACCTCGACATGAACCCGACATTTAGTATGTGAGATTTCAAGACAGATTTGTGTATTTCATGTCACATGGTGATTAATCAATTATTTACAGAATGCCACCATATAGCTGGAATATTGCTGAATGTGCCATTAAACAAACAAACAAACAAGATTAATGACCTGTAGTTTCCCTTGTTATCAGTATCTGACTTCATCTCACCTGTTTTGACGGTGTCGAAGAAGCCAACTTCCTGGGTCATGATGGAGGAGAACAGGACGTTCCTGATGCGGATGTTGAGTCTCTGCAACGCCAGGAACAGGCAGCCTCCTCTTACACCCGTTGCTATGGCACTAATGGAAAAGTTCTGTTACTATGGCTACACGGTATGGGGAGTGTAATGGCATAGATAATCCATCATGTTACCATGGTTATATTGTATGGAGACAATGTAGATACAGAGGAAACTGTCTTAAAGACCGCTTAACTAAACAGACCTGATAAGTAAACACTATTTTTTGGTCCCGGCAAATTTCATAATTAATTATTACTATTAGAGTCCGGTTAACTCGGATAAGTAAACAATACTGCTTAACTAAACGTCTTCTCACGGTCCCTGGAAGTAAAGTACTTACCAAAAGAGACCGGATAACTAAATTAGCGATCACCACATAATCCGACATGAGGGGGCACATGTCAGTCTCCAGTTAAACAAACATCCTACTTACAGCTCGCTGGTGTCATGCAGTTGACAATACACTGACAACTGGAGGCAATCCCTGATAAGTTGTTCATTGTTTTATATAGCTTGCGAGTATCAGTGAGTAGACCAATTAGCAAATGTTACTCTGTTATTCTGCTGTATACATATACATGCATATGGTTGTCATTTGCAGGTTTTGATAAGTTTTGATAATTAAAATACCTGATAAGTAAACAATTTTGGCGAGTCCCTTGAAATTTTACATATCAGGCTTCCACTGTACTGCGGTCATCCTGCACATCTGTGGCTATGGTACTGAGGAAGCGGTACTGATACCATGGTTTAACAACAGACACTGCAGTCATCCTGCACATCTGTTGCTATGGTACTGAGGAAGCGGTATTGATACCATGGTTATACAACAACAGCACACACTGCAGTCATCCTGTCACCCTGCACATCTGTTGCTATGGTACTGAGGAAGCGGTACTGATACCATGGTTTTACAACAGACACTGCAGTCATCCTGCACATCTGTTGCTATGGTACTGAGGAAGCGGTACTGATACCATGGTTATACAACAGACACTGCAGTCATCCTGCACATCTGTTGCTATGGTACTGAGGAAGCGGTACTGATACCATGGTTATACAACAGACACTGCAGTCATCCTGCACATCTGTTGCTATGGTACTGAGGAAGCGGTATTGATACCATGGTTATACAACAGACACTGCAGTCATCCTGCAGTGACCTGTTGCTATGGTACTGAGAGAAATGGATCTGTTACCATGGTTATAGTACTTATACAACAGATAGAATGGTCATCCTGCACAACTCTTGCTGTGGTACTGAGAGAAACGTCTTGTTACTATGGTTATACAGACACAGCAGGGTGTTGCACACTTGTTGCTATAGCACCGAGATTAGTTCCTACCAATATAACACATGATGGACACACTACTGCTCCTCACTACCCTGTTTATCTTAAGTATATATCGCTATTCTAATCTGCTAACTGACCTAAAAACAATTTTATTGATCATTCCACATGCTAATTCATAGATCTTTGCCATAAATGCTTTACCTTTCATAAGTCCTTCTGAACTGAGGTAAAGCTTGACTTGTCTAATTAACTCACCTGCCGAGTGAAATTAAGGCCATGACGATGATTGCGTGAGTGAACTTTTCACGTGACTTCTCGATAGCGATTCCATCGATCACCAGACCCGTGTAGAATGGAATGAAGATATTGGCTGGAATGTATATACATCAATAGTAGTGTTGGGAATTGGTTGGACTCTAACAATTGATGATTGGTTCAATACCAATGACCAATCATTGAAAAAAATTGGTTAGCGTCATTTTTTAGATTTTCCTCTTCAGGTTGTAGTTACAGATACGTATAAAGAAAAAAACCATTTGGTTCTCGGTTGTTGTGTTTAGAAACTGCACAAATTACATTTGCAGATTTCACATCCAGTGTAAAATGATTCAGTTCCAGTGTAACATTAACTTCCCAGATACTTCAAGAAATATTCAGTCATGACTTTTCAGAAAGTGAAGTGAGTTTTCTTAGAAATAAACACGTTTTCAGGCCCTGACAACAGATATGTTCCATCATCAAGTATTTCAAACTCTATTACAGCGGTTCCAAAATCATTTGTGTTCGATTATGAGAAAATGTGATCGATTGCTTGGTCGTTTGGCCACTGCGACCAATCTTCGATTATTTCAATTAATCGGACCACCACTAATCAATAGTACAGCCCTCATATGTAAACTCATTATTCACTACAAAACAGAAGCAGTCCCATCCAAAAATGTCCTGAAAACCTAAAATGTCTTCAGCAGAAATATACAGCATGAACCAGTTTCAATTTCCCTCAACTGAATGTGTTAGTTTTTCCTGAAGTAAAACCACGTAAAACCTGGATGACGACTTGTCTCCTAAAATGTCAGTTTGAGCTTGTGGTTTGTAAAATAGCCTCAACAGGCATTAGGATGGGGTCATATTTACTATTCAATGCTAGTCATGTGTTCCTGTTTGGTAAAATCACACTGTGGAACAGTGAGTGAGTGAGTATGTTTTCATGCCGCTTTTAGCAATATTCCAGCAATATCACAGCGAGGGACAACAGAAATGGGCTTCACACATTATACCCATATGGGGAATCGAACCCGGGTCTTCAGCATGACAAGCAAACACTTAAACCACTCAGCTACCTCACCACCCCTTCTCCCTCAAGGGGTGACAGCTGAATTCACCTATCTGTCTGTATCAAACTTCAAGTCCTAATGTCTGAAGTAGTACAGTATGGTACTACCTTGACAGCAGTTGTCTAGCGCATTTCTGGTGTCCCCGCCGTGATGTTGCTGGAATATTGCCAAAAGCGCGTAAAACCAAAACTCAGTCAGTCAGTCAGTTGTCTAGCACAGGGCACAGATGGAAGATAATTCAAACAAAACACCCTGCAGCCATGACAAAAAACATATTCAATTACATATCAATAACACTGTCAATATGCTTCACTGTTTCCCATCTCCCACCTGTCATGAATTTTCATTCCGATGTGAAATAATAAAAAATGTAATTATCTCACCGTGGAAATTTATGCCCAGATGTGAAAAAATAACTTTTCCCCTTGCTCACTCATAAAAAACAAGATCAGTTTCATCAATCTTCATGCGCATCTATAAAAAAATTCTTTCTGAAGCAAAGTGACTTAATCTCACCACAAATTAATTTTTAAAGACTTTTACAAAGTGACCAAAATAATAAACTTTCATGCGTTCACTATAACACAAATAGCACCATTAGCAAAAACCACGTAATTTTATTACATTTGTTTTTAAAACAAGGCAGACCTTAATACCAAATGACCTTGACCTACATTGAGCTGCCAGAAAATTTCAAAATTCAAGACCATGCTTCAATTAACAAGATAAATACCATCTGCCTTAGGGTGAACATTCTAGAGGCATAATGAATATAGAATGAAGGGCCTAAGAACTAGTCACTGAAAAACATTTTTAACATCATGAATTAATATCAAGTATTCCCTGTTTTGACAAAATGGCTTCTTGTGACCTTGACTTTCATCAGATGTAACCAAGAATCATTTAAAAGAGATTAAGACCCTAGAAATTATGGATAAAGTCCAACTAAAATCATAAAAGCTCAAGATGTTGTGTACACAACCTCTATGAGACTTCAGACTGGATGCGTGAAGTTTCGGGTCACGTAGAATTGGTCTTCAGCAACCCAGACTCAATTATTTACAGACTGATGCCATATAGCTGGGATATTGCTGAGTGCAGCGTTAAACAACATCCAACCAAACCAATCAGACTGGGTGACCTTGACCTGTAAAGTCATCAGGTCATATGTCAGTGGTATATATGAAGGATATCAGGTATGATGTCTCCGACATCTGTCACACGCTGTTGTAGAAGCAACATGGGCTGCTTAATTATACATACAGTCAATAAAAGGATTCTGTTACCAACAAATATCAACACTACCAGAAAATGTCAGAAAATAATAAATCATTCATACAGATGAAACCTTACAACATGACATTTTGTCTTTATAACGTTAATACCTTTAACAACAATGAAATAATTTCATCAAATATTTTGGATCAAATATTTCAAAAAAATATTTTTGTACTGTGGAACTGCAAAAATGATACATAAAGAGATATTTAAAATGATAGGTTTCTTAAAAACAGTGTTAAAGTATCAATTTATATCTCAACAGAGAAGCGAAATTTCTTCAGAAAATATCACTGGATTATCAACTCATTTCTTGCAGATTACTCAGATTTGTTCATCACAGACCATGGCACCTAGTCAATTCAATGTTGTACAGAAAAGTCATAGTTGCAGCATCGCATACAGTTATGTACAGTGTCAAGTAAAATCTTTAGTGTAACATTCATAAATGTGAACAGCTCTCCACTTTAAAAAATAGGTCAAGAGATTAGGTACGCATGACTGACTGAGTTTTATGCCACTTTTAGCTGTAGGATTGGGTCACAATTCAATGCTAGTCATGTGTTCCTGTTTGATAAAATCACACTGTGGAACAGTGAGTGAGTGAGTATGTTTTCATGCCGCTTTTAGCAATATTCCAGCAATATCACAGCGGAGGACAACAGAAATGGGCTTCACACATTGTACACATGTGGGGAATCGAACCCGGGTCTTCAGCATGACAAGCAAACACTTAAACCACTCAGCTACCTCACCACCCCTTCTCCCTCAAGGGGTGACAGCTGAATTCACCTATCTGTCTGTATCAAACTTCAAGTCCTAATGTCTGAAGTAGTATAGTATGGTACTACCTTGACAACAGTTGTCTAGCGCAGGGCACAGATGGAAGATAATTCAAAACAAAACACCCTGCAGCCATGACAAAAACATACTCAATTATTTTTATAACACTGTCAATATGTTTCACTGTTTCCCATCTCCCACCTGTGATGAATTTTCATTCCGATGTGTAATAATAAAAAATGTAATTATCTCACCGTGGAAATTTATGCACAGATGTGAAAAAAATAAGTTTTCCCCTTGCTCACTCATAAAAAACAAGATCAGTTTCATCAATCTTCATGCGCATCTATAACAAAAATTCTTTCTGAAGCAAAGTGACTTAATCTCACCACAAATTAATTTTTAAAGACTTTTACAAAGTGACCAAAATAATAAACTTTCATGCATTCACTATTACACAAATAGCACCATTAGCAAAAACCACTTAATTTTATTACATTTGTTTGTAAAACAAGGCAGACCTTAATACCAAATGACCTTGACCTACATTGAGCTGCCAGAAAATTTCAAAATTCAAGACCATGCTTCAATTAACAAGATAAATACCATCTGCCTTAGGGTGAACATTCTAGAGGCATAATGAATATAGAATGAAGGGCCTAAGAACTAGTCATTGAAAAACATTTTTAACATCATGAATTAATATCAAGTATTCCCTGTTTTGACAAAATGGCTTCTTGTGACCTTGACTTTCATCAGATGTATCCAAGAATCATTTAAAAGAGATTAAGACCCTAGAAATTATGGATAAAGTCCAACTAAAATCATAAAAGCTCAAGATGTTGTGTACACAACCTCTATGAGACTTCAGACTGGATGCGTGAAGTTTCGGGTCACGTAGAATTGGTCTTCAGCAACCCAGACTCAATTATTTACAGACTGATGCCATATAGCTGGGATATTGCTGAGTGCAGCGTTAAACAACATCCAACCAAACTAATCAGACTGGGTGACCTTGACCTGTAAAATCATCAGGTAATATGTCAGCGGTATACATGTGTATGAAGGATATCAGGTATGATGTCTCTGACATCTGTCACACGCTGTTGCAGAAGCAAGTGGGGCTGCTTAATTATACATACAGTCAATAAAAGGATTCTGTTACCAAATAATATCAAACACTACCAGAATATGTCAGAAAATAATAAATCATTCATACAGATGAAACCTTACAACATGACATTTTGTCTTTATAACGTTAATGCCTTTAACAACAATGAAATAATTTCATCAAATATTTTGGATCAAATATTTCAAAAAAATATTTTTGTACTGTGGAACTGCAAAAATGATACATAAAGAGATATTTAAAATGATAGGTTTCTTAAAAACAGTGTTAAAGTATCAATGTATATCTCAACAGAGAAGCGAAATTTCTTCAGAAAATATCACTGGATTATCAACTCATTTCTTGCAGATTACTCAGATTTGTTCATCACAGACCATGGCACCTAGTCAATTCAATGTTGTACAGAAAAGTCATAGTTGCAGCATCGCATACAGTTATATACAGTGTCAAGTAAAAACTTTAGCGTAACATTCATAAATGTGAACAGCTCTCTAACTTTAAAAAATAGGTCAAGAGATTAGGTACACATGACTGACTGACTGAGTTTTATGCCACTTTTAGCTGTATTCCAGCAATATCACGGCAGGGGACACCAGAAATGGGCTTCACACATTGTACCCATGTGGGGAATTGAACCTGGGTCTTCAGAGTGGACGCTTTACCCACAAGGCTACCCCACAGCCCCAGGTACACATTAACACATAATAAGGTCAGAATACAAAGCTAATAAAGCTGCCATTTTCCTTCCTCTCTCCACACGATTTGGCTCCATAAGTTCATAATGTAACAAAACATATTGATCTGGTCTGATTTTTTTTAAAAACCCACCTCCTCCAAGAATCAAAGAATTCTTACAAGGAAAGAAAACTTGGCTCTGGATTTTTATTCAATATGAACTGTGTTCCTGTTTATGATGCTAGTTGTAAGGGAAACTAAAGAGATCGGGAAGTCAGGCTCACTGACTTGGTTGAGGCATGTCATTGTATCGCAAACACCTAGATTGATGCTCATGATGTTGATCACTGGACTGTCTGGTCCAGACTTGACTGCTGCTATAGAGCTGGAATATTGCTGAGTGCAGCATTAAACAACAAACAAATAAACTCAGTTTCTTAAAATTTCTTAAATTAAATATGAAATCTATATCAGTTTCTCAAATAAGAAATATCCCCAGTTCTTACCTATAGCTGCTAAGATGAGAAATGTGAACCCTGTACACAGCAGGAGCCAGTCAGGTCGCATGTACGAAAACAACGAAACACTTTGGCTTTGGATAATTTAACATTTTTCTCTTTGTCCTCATCCTTCGAATCATCCTTCACTTTAGCCTTTGAGTCATTAATCAAGGGCTCTCTCTCTTCATCATCCCCTAGCAAGTTTGGTTTATCACAGACTTTTGTACAACACAGAATACGCCATTGTATATAAAACAAGATGGCCGCCACAACGGCCCAGGCCAGCATTGCCCACATCCAGGGGTTGTGGAGGTTGCTGTTGCTGTCAGCGAGGGTGAGCAGTCGGATGACAGTCCACATACACATCGCCACACACAGAACTACGATGTATTTACTGACGTGTTTACTGCGAGACACTGCAGGGGACGGATTGTGTATAATCGCTGTGACCAGTCCTAAGATGAATGGGACCCGAATTAGAGTCAGTGCCCAGAGATCAAACATGGAACGGTTGATGTTGTAGTCGTAAGTCTCCACCAGGAAGTGATAACGGAAGTCTGTTCCATGGGAAAAGATGACTGTGGTGACGGCAAGGTCGGACAAAGAAAGAAACGCACAGATCGGAACAGTTATACATCTCCTCATGGCTGTTGTTGGACACAAGACTGAAATACAAAACAAACGAAAATTATTACATGTTCTGGGCTGGAATTGAGATATTCCTTGTACTGTGATCATCTCAAACGCCTAAATCTTGCCAAGACAATGATTTGAGTAAAGGTGAGGTGAGGTGAGGTGAGGTGTGAGGTGAGGTGAGGTGAAATTGGGTTTAACGCCGCGGTTTGAGAATATTTCGGCTCATATGGCGACGGGCATGCGTGTGTATGTGTATGTGCGTCTGCTTGTACTAGCCCAGACTTAAGCTGGTTTTATAGTGCTAGCCCACTGAGATACCATGCGCGCAGTGAAGCATGAATACCCCACTCAGACACATTATACTGACTCGAAGCCGACCAGTCCTTGTTGTACCCATTAATGCCGAGCGCCAGGCAGGGACCAACAAGTACCATATTTTAACGTCTTTTGGTTTGTGAGGGATCGAACCCGCGACCTTCTGCTCTCGGGCAGGCGCTCTAACCACTACACCACGGAGGCGGTCTTTGGGTGAGTGAGTGAACATGATACTATAGTGATTTGAGTGAGTGAATTCAGTTTTATGCTGCTTTTAGCAATATTATGGTGGGTGGACAGAAATTTCACTGGATTATCAAAATATCACTGGATTACTGCAGATTTGTTCTTGCAGAGTACTTGGCAATTCAATGTTGTGCAGAAAAATGATAGCTGCAGTACATCAGTAGTTATGTACAGTGTCAACTAAAAACTTTAGCATAACATTAATAAATCTGAACAGCTCTCTACTAGAAAAAAGGTCAAGAGAGTAGGTACACATGACTGACTAAGTATGTCCAAGATATTTTTATGGATTAAACTTCTCTTTTAAATTCCCTCCACGACGTTTGAGACCATTCCAGGTCCCTTCATCAGGTGATGAAGGGACCTGGAATGGTCTCAAACGCCGTGGAGAGAAATTAAAAAGAAGTTTAATCCATAAAAATATCTTGGACATCAATGTACAACTTCTAAATGCCACTGAAAGACATGACTGACTAAGTATGGTTTTATGTAGCTTTTAGCAATATTACATCAATATCACGGCGGGGGACACCAGAAATGGGCTTCACACATTGTACCGATGTGGGAAATCGAACCCAGGTCTTTAACGTGACGAACGCTTTAACCACTAGGCTACCCAACCGGCCCCCTATGGTGATTACAGTTACATCATGGCTTCTCAGATTAATCTCCTTGTGTTAGAGAAAAAGCAGTGAACTCATCATTTAAATTGCGATGGACTGACTGACTGAGTTTGGTTTTACGCCGCTTTTAGCAATATTCCAGCAATATCACGGCGGGGGACACCAGAAATGGGCTTCACACATTGTGCCCATGTGGGGATTCGAATCCGGGTCTTCGGAGTGAAGAGCCAACGCTTTAACCATTAGGCTACCCCACCGCCCCAAATTGCGATGGAACACTGTCACAAACAACAAAGAAGTCGTTATGCATGAAAACTGTCACATTGTATAGATCATTAGGAAAAAAGACTTACATGGTAATGGGACCAGTTTTTCAACAATCAGTGACACAAATGTCAAAGATGTTCAGTTCCATATGGAAATAGTTTCATCCATATATTGCCAGTGTATCCTGGAAAATAATATCATTCCCCTTGATATACAAAGGAACAATATTGCAAGGGAAACAAAATACACTGCAACATGAACATCATGATATGAGATTTTATATTACACTTGTTTCTTGTCAGTCGGATGATTTACAAAACTGGTGTTAATCTATCTCAGCCAAACCAAAGTCTCATTCTGCTGCACAAAATGGTAAATATTAGTATCATTAATAGCCTGAATGTAATGAGTGTTTGGTGGCAGCTGCGGAAAGATCCCAGTCTGTCATGGCTACAGATACACAGGTGATCAGTACCAGATTACGCAGAATACAGATGACGTGCCGATAACGTGCCAGTCTGATTGATCCAATTATTGCAGTGTGTTCAGTGGGCCAGTGGTCTGATAATTCATGCTGTCTACAGTTTTACAAATTTAATAAAAGGTACAATACATTAGTGGTTCTGCTTTGTTTAATACTCTAATGTCAGTATCTTTATTATGAACACAATGCAGAGTTCTACATTTATTAACCAGGAATATTATAGATTCGCAAATAATATCTATATTTCACTATATCTATATTTGTTAAACAGTCAGAATATTATTGATAACAGCTTTAATTACTGATTAGATTGGTTCCATTATCGGGCAGACATTTACATAGAAGCATAGTTATCATTCACAATTTCGGAGAATGTGCAGTGTGGGGAATTTTTCCTTGGGTTTATTGTTTTGTTTCAGTTTTGGTGTATTAAATGTTCAGACATAATTCTTTTGACTTTTCGTTTATTTTATAAATGGGGAATATGAACTGCCTCATTCCCAAACAGAATATTATTGATAACCGGTTTATTTTTAACACAATGTTTCAGGGTCACTATATGTATATTTATTACCAGAAATATTATTGATATGGATATCCAGAAATGGATATGCAGAAAACTAACCCAGTGCAAAACAAAACACCCAATCTCAACAGCTGTTTAATAAACTGATTTATAGCCTGACATACTACCACTGACCTCAATGTCATAAAATCAGAGATACACCTACATCTGCAGCCAATGGGCATCCTTTGGCAGGTCTTTACCACTGATTTGATATTTAATTTACAGCTGTGACTTTACTAATAGTGATATTTGAAGAAATACAGTGAAACGCTTCAACCACTTGGCTACTCCACCGCCCCACTTAAGTTTGTTTCAGCTGTTACACATCAGTGTCATGACTCATTGGCCAGCTGAGATTGCACAAGTGACATACATTTTTATGATATCCATGGTTCTGTAAAAACAGTAAATTTAGTTAGACAACAATGAAAAATTAATCAATGCGTTACCAGCTTATCCTTTGAAAAAAGTATGTTGTCTAACATAGATGCCAGGATATGGGTGTATTCTGTCTGCTAGGGGACCGTTCATAATTTATGGCTAGGGGGGTGATGATGATTTTTATGGAAAAGCATGTACAATGTGAATGACACACCCTAAAATTTATGTACAAAATAAGTGACCCCCCTGCATGTCATGTACAATATCAATGACACTCCCTTCTCTTTCCATAATTTCTAAGCATAATTTTAAACATATTTTTATGAACAAAGTTGCTGACCCCCTTAGTACGTGTGTACAAAATTGATAACCCCCCTAGCTCCCCAGAACAAAATGGGTGACCCCCCTTAAAATCATCATCACCCCCTTAGCCATAACTTATGAACGGTCCATAGGTGTTTTCCCACTTTAGCTAATTTTCACCTGTTTGCTACAGGGAACTACTCAGGTGATCTTTGTATGGTAGAGTCCATAAATTTAGATCCGAGAGGATTAATAGGTGTACCAATTTCATCATCAGAATAAATGAATGACAGACTCAATAACAGATTATATGTTATATTAGAAACATTGTGTGTGTTTTCGTATGTGTTTGTGGAAAAGCAATTGTTGTATTACATGCAATTTGCCAGAAAAACTAAGAGTTATTACTGTTTTGAGTTCATTAACTAAACTTCGTTGCAAATATAATATGTACATGTAACTGCTGAATACTCATTGTGATTATATTATTATATGTGAATTTATATTGTACCTTTTTCTCTTGTACCACCGTTGGTGTTTTTTTCAGAGAATAATCAAACTGTGAAACCCAGCTGGTCCAAAACCTGTGTTTGTTGAGTTGCCGATCCTAATTGGCATCTGGTGATTGTTCAGGCTAATCAAAATGGCACCAGGTGGACGACTGAAAGTTGGGAGTTTTGATTATTTGTATTGTTGACAGGAATCATGACTGGTATGACATGTGTTTACACTGACTTATTAAAGCTCTACATGCAAAACAACTGAGATTTTCTTCTTTGTGAGGCATTTAGAATTTGAGGCACTAAGGAAGGCTAACAATATATGGATGAGCTGCCACAGTAATAAAGAAGTTGTTCATCAATATATTGTTATCCTTCATTAACTGAGATTTAGAATATTGTTCCCTGTTAATAAATAGCATGGCTGATACATAACTTGATTGAACATGCCACAAGAATCGAGGAATTTGGGTGGAGGCTACAGTGACGCATGGGCATGGGAACAGCCCGGAGCAAACACTTCAAAGTGTGTGCGTGCGTGCGTGCTTATTCGTTCACAAGTTTCACCTCCAACAATACGATATAGTTTTGACTGGGCACAATACACGAAATAGCAGTTTTGTTATGTGCATGGAAAATACGATTTTACTTGGCCTTTGTTCCGAGTTATGTAATCGTTACTATAACTCGGGGGGTCATCCATGGACCCCAAGACCCACGTTATGGCGAGGGATGTCTGTACCATGTGGCCTATTCTGTTTATTTCTCACTAATAATTGCTGTATAGGTAATGATAAAAGATAACTCATTAAGACACACAAACTTGTTAGATCAATTTGGCGAACAAGACTGAAGCTATGAAAGATGAGTTCAGTTATCATACATTATTTGCTTTTCACTGGGGAAGTTGTTTTGGGGGAAATGATCCAAAGTAACTTTGTCTTCTGCCATTTGTTGCTACAAACTCTTTGGCAAATGTCATTCAACGACAGTTCATCGGAAATGTACTTGTGTGTATGCAATAACAAGACGTTGTTGAATGATAGTTGTTCAGACACAGCAAACACCTGAGAGGCAACATTCAGTCCAAAGTATGTACTGAACTGGTCAAGCTGAGCCATCACACCACCTGCAATTGTTGCATACTCGTCGTGCCCCTGTGTGTTAATTTTACTTAAGGTCCTTTGAAGAACATCATAGTTTTCCAGAACAGAGTTCACAGACCCTGTCCTGACAGTCCATCGTGTTGGACAAAGAGGCCTTAGATCATGTGACTTTTGTGTCTTTTAAAAATCAGTTTTTTCAGGCATTTCTTTTGTATGAGCATTTGGGACATTCTGAAAGAGTTGATCTCAATTCAGAGAATATTTGATTAATTTTGTAATCTCCATCTCAAGGGAATCCCTTAAAGGCTTGCAGGTTCTTCCAGCTTCTTGAAGTGCAAAGTTCAGGCAATGGGCAAGGCAATGGAGGTGAAGTGCCCTTGGTTCATCATGTCGGAGTTGGGGAACAACTCCACGGATGTGTCAAGTGAAGCTCCTGGCTCCATCAAAACCTTCTTGACAGTCTGAGAGAGGTAATCCACAACGTGCCAGTGTGTCTTTTAATACCTCAGTCAATGTGGCTGATGTGGTACAGGGAACTTCATTTACTGTGAAATCATCATCTACCCACCTTATGCAAATAACCAGTTGTTCCCTGTTTGACACATCCCTGGCTTCATCTGCCAAAATGACAAAGTATCTTGCAGTCTTAGTCCTGTCCAAAATCTTCAATAAAACACCTCTTCCCAATGCGTCAGCTACTCATTAAGTATAACTGGAGACATATAGTTCTTGTCTGATATCTATTTCAATAAATCAATAACAATGCCCAGTCACAGAGAACAAAAGACTGGTTTTAACAGCTACCCCACCTCATCGCGTGTCTACTCAAGAGACAAGCTTTGTGAGATCGGGTCCCATTGTCTCAACACAAGATGTGTAATCAAACCTGGGATTGAAGAATTCAATGTGTTTGTTAATCAGCTGATTACAAGGAAACACAGACACAAGACAAGGAGAGGCAAGCGAGCAGGGAAGTCAATTCACAAAATACCTCAAACTAAATCCGTCACTAATTCAAAAGAATGTTTCCTGACAGTGTGTGTTTGGAATGCATAGAGTGCTTGAAATAAAACAACTGATATCTGTGACTTTTTACATGATAGAGATTTAGACATTCTCTATATCACAGAATCTTGGATAAGGGATAAGGGTGATGACGTCATCAAAGCAGAATTAACACCAACTGGCTACACTTTAATCAACAAACCTAGGCAATCTGATCACATGGGCGGAGGAATCACAGTAGTCTACAAATCACACATAAAGTTAAAAGTTAACCCACAGATGATGAACTTTCCGTCTTTCGAATTTCTGGAAACGGTTTTGGAACAGAGCAATAACCTGCATATCATCTGTGTGTACAGACCCCCACCGTCAGCTAAAAATAAACTTTCAGCCTCCAAATTTCCAGATGACTTTGAAAATTTTGTTCAACTTCAGAGCAGCAAAACAGGTGAAATTACCATTTCTCTGTGACAGGAATATCCATTTCGATGATCCATTAAAACCTGACAGAGAAAAAATTGTCACATTCCTGGACTCAATTGGACTTGTCCAAATTGTGCCAGCGCCAACCCACAAATGTGGACATATTCTAGACTGGGTAATCGTCAGAGACACAAACAAAGAACTTATTCAAAAAGTGACTGTTGAAGACCTACAAATGTCAGACCACTTCCCTGTGTTTCTGTCTTTCAACAAGGAAAGACCAACAAGACAGAAAATAACGAAAACATGTCGAAACTTTCGCAATATGGACATTGACAAGCTGAAAACAGATATTGGGAACTCTCCTCTCTACAAGGTGAAACCGAAGACTGCCACAGAACTTGCAGATCTATACAACAG